CTATCAAATAAGTAATAAAAATTTGCCATAATTTGTCAAATATCCGTGGCCCTAGTGGAACAAATCGAGTCTCACTTGGCTGGGAGCCAGGGCCCCCTAGCCCCCCTCCCCAATCGGGGCCTTTAGCCCCTCCGTCGGGCAGGTCCTGGCGCCTTCACTGGTTAAGGGTGTCCCCTTAATAGGAGTATCGCAAATGAGCTGAGGGTTCTGATTGTAATTATAAAGGTAACTATGATAATAATGCTTTACAAATAGAAGTAGAGCGAAAACAATAGATTTACAGTCCCTCCGAAACGTGAGCATAGAAATAATTATCTATGTCACAGATCGAAAAACATCAATTTTCAATGATTTACAAATTAATGGTTTACTACAACATTTTAAAAAATTGCTGGGTAGGTATGCAAACGATTATAGAAAAACTGGTGATACGTCCGTTAATTTGGTGAGGATTTGTCGTCTTTAAATTTCTAGTTTAAAGCAAACTTTACATATATACATGAGTTAGATTTTTGTTAATTTCATATAGGCCTATGATAGAGTAACAGTAAGGTGGCAACAGTACAGCAGACCTACATCTTAATCAATTTTAACAAATCGTTTTTTTTTGTTCTTATGTAAATGATCAGCAGGTTATAATACTGTACATCGAAAGCCTACTTAAAGCAAGGAGGTGCTTAAAGTTAGAGCGGACGGAGAGTTGATCTAACGAGTTTTTGAAGGAATAAAGTTGTTTGGTTGTTGTAGTTGAAACGCGATGAAACGTGAAAAGGTTGAAATAATAAATAACAAGACACATGGGTGTATAGTTGTGTGAGAATATCCCCGGGGCGGCCGGATTAATTGTTCAATTCAGCCAGATATTAATTCTAGTTTACGCAAGAACAAAGGAGATTAGGGTACAAAGCACTGGCACGCGACCCAAGTGATAAAACTTAAAACTCGACCATGGTTGCAGCTGATGATTGGAACGGCATAGCAGTACCAAGGAGGTACATGCAAAAAGCAGTCAGAGCACCGTGAATCACACACCGCTATGGGGAAGAGTTCTGATGACGTATCATATGTTTTACCTCATTGTTCACAGTCAATTAAATTAGCAGCGGTGGCTCCAGAAATTTGCAACAGTGGGTCCGATATACAGGGGTTCCGTATCAAGGGGCTGACTAGAGCCTCGGCTGGGGTCCCGGAATAAAAAGAAATTTCTGGTAGGGTTCACGGGGAAAGTTTTTATGGCTTACTGTAAAAAATGTGCTTAAATAACGTTATTTATATATAGGCAAATTATTATTTCTGATCCGACGACCTCGTCGTGGCTTTGGACGCCTGGGGTCCAGGCCTGTCCGACGGCGGGATTCCTTCTACATCCGCTGGCTCCAGCACTGACTGTTAGGCCTATGGGATAGTCATCATTGTTAATGCTTCTTTTAAATGCCCAGAAGTTAGCCTATGTACATTGCCTGCCGAAAAACAAAACAATCGAAAATTATCATTATCATTATATCTTTATCATCATCATCATCATCTTCATCATCATCATCAAAAACAGTAACAAATCAGGGGCGGATCCAGAAATGTCCAAAAAAAGACACATGGGGGGAGAAATTTGGGCCGATCGAGACAACACTGAAATAGGCGGTCCGGGGGCATGCCCCGTTGAAATTTCTGTGTTTAAAGGCCAACTCAGACAGCGTCGGCCGACGCAGCTAGCCCGACCCGATTTATCGTCGGGGACAGTCTTTAAGCCGTCGTGAGAAATATCTTGGAAATATTAAACACGTTTAATATTCTACTACACGACTGCCCCCGACGCACACCATCGCGTCTGCGTTCAACTCAATGACAACAAATCGCGTCGGGCTGCGTCGGCCGACGCTGTCTGAGTTGGCCTTTAGACGCCCGAAAATAACATTTTAGGCGTTCTGGGCTATCGTTTTTTCTTTTTCTTTCTTTTTTTCTTTTTTTTAATTCTCAAAAAAAGGGGGGGCAGGGCGCCCCCCTCTAAATCCGCCCCTGCAAAGCAGCAGGGTAACCGTTATTAATATGCTATCATTATCATCGAGTCACCACCAACCAATTGATCGTCGTCACCGTCATCATCTTTATCAACCACCTTCATCAGCATTTTTATCATCATCAACAACAACATCATCATCATCACCACCACCACCAATCGATAGTCGATACCATCATCATCATGATCATCATCCCCATCATCATCGTCTTCATCGTCATCATCTTTATAGCATCATTTGTTATAACCATCACAGCACGTGTTGGAGTAACAAAACAAAAAACAAAAATCATTATCTAAAAACGACAACAAAGATATCAGATCGAACCGTTCACCAACTTGTAGCCTAGAGTGTCGCTCAGAATTGTTATAGTTATTGTTAAAGTTATAAACGAAATTCAAATTTAAGCATCAATATGAAGATTTAAATAACTGGGGACTTTGGTCCTTTCAGACTTCTCCCCAGAACACTTGATTTATAAAATGGAGAGTATTTAAAAATTACATAAACAAAATATACTTGCAGGTCTATGCCACGTTTAAGATGGTTGTTTTGGCTTTAGGTTAACTCTTTGTTCACATTGTTTATTCATTCTCAACAGCCATCTTTTAATTCTTAGCTTTAACGCACATTGTTTGGAGGCATATGTGTGACCCTTTGTGTCAATGTACCTTACGCTATTGATAGTTACTAACCTTAATTAGTTACTGTTTGAATATGTCACATAGGCCTAAAGGTTGGTTAGAAGAAAAATATCATCGTCATATTGGTATGGCACACACTTTGAAATCGAGGTCTAAATTAATAATTTACTACTAGGCCCGCCTATTTCTCAAATTCCTCCTCAATACCAGTTTATTGACGTGAATTGCAAATCTCATAAGTCACCCAATATAAAGGTACTGGTAATGTTTTCTACAGGGTTTCTGCCAGTGCCAATAGGCGTAAACAATGAGGATATTAATGGATTGAACAAAAGAATGATGAAAACAAAGGACCTACACGCGACCAGTCTATACATAGTAAAAAACAAAAGAATAGTTAAAGAAGAAACATAACTAGGCAGTAAACAAAGGATGAATCAAATGCACAAGTGTATGTTGAGAAAGGAAACTTTCACCAAACTATTTTGTTGACTCTGCTCAGACCGGATCTCTCGGAGAAAATCTTACCTGTAGCAATGGGGATAGGACGATCAACACAACTGAGTAGGCTATGCAATTCAGAACATGTGATATAGTAAAAAAAAGTGTGTGGATTGAGACCAAAATAAGTTTGAAAACAAATTTTAAGGCATGGTCACCCGTTAAAATCATAGTGTTAATAAATAAAATTACAGATTCAAATACAAACAATTATAAAGCATTCATCAACGATACTAGTTGGTTTAAATTTATTTTTTCTAAAACCAAATTAAAGTCTTTGATGATACTTATATTTTTATACATGTTTAAAATTACACGGTAGGCCCTAGGTTTTATGTTATAACTACAACATCATAACACTAAAGTATTTGTCGGCACAAGAGAGGCCTTACCATCTATGGTAAATACGAAAAATCTATATAAAAAAAATCAGTTAATACAATATTTTATTTATTTATTCAACTGAACATACACTTTTGTTTCAGTGGCACACAACATTTTGGTGCGTTCAATAAGAAAGAAAAACAACTAAACTAAAAGAAACTAAAAGTTATACAAAACAATTATACAATAACAGCATACAGTACTGTATTGGTGTTAAAGCAAAATCCACTAAGTAAAAAACAACATTACTGTAGTAATACTATTTTTTTTAAAGTTAACAAATTATTACGTTATTAAGATACAGATAAGCACATAAAAAAAAAATCATTTTAAATCAAAACACAACAACGCAAAAGATTACTTATGAGGTAGAGGCATGCAATAATAATGACCTTTCTTTCCACAGGTTTTTAGACAAGGATTTGCTAAATTTATCAATTTCCACAATAATTTCCTTTTTATATAATTCATTTTCATTACCAAGAATAAAACATACCTTTTCTGTAATATTTAAGGAGTTAAATTTATCCCAAACGTGGTGAAATTTTAGTGATTGGAGATTATTTTTAAAGTGTAATATTTCCATCCTTCTAATGTTTTCAAGAACTGGACATACAAGCAGAAAATTTTCAATGGAATTATCATTGCTCACCTTACAAATTCCAGTGTCATTCTAATCATTAAACCATTTTTTAGTTCGCTGTTGGAGAGGGAGGGTATTTGAACGGAGCTTAAATTTTATTGATGCTCCTTCAAAATCAGTACCGTCAAGAAGGTACTCTTCCATACTTCGTGACGTTTGAATTAATGAATATTTTACAATAGAAGGTTTGCTTTTAATATCATCCTTCCAGCAATTTAACGAATTTTATTTTAGAGCATGTTTTACTAGACCACCGATATCCGTTATCGTGCTACGAAATACAGTACATTGTCTCATTTCAATTATTTTTAATTGAAAACTAAATAAATATATTATGTACAAATTAATTTAAATAGGCCTATTTTCAGGTTTTGTGACCTCATTACAAGAAGATTGCAGAACATACATTCGTACAACACTCATATGATATTTTTTCTGAAATCTTTCAGTGCATTTATGCTAGCGCCATCTGTAGAATTTGTTTGCCACTTAATGCAAGCCTACCGTTCAAAACAACTTCCTGCATTATTATCACATAACCTAAGCCTTTGTCTAGGTCGCCTACTTGTTTATATATCATTTCAGAAACAGTTGCTTAAAAAACAGAAATGTGTAATTAATTAATTTAAAATAAATTAAAAATAATTTAAATAAAAACCGGGTTAAATCTCCGACTTAATATAATCAGTCAATAATATCATAAGATACACAGTATTCACACGAGTATTACGTAATAGCAAGTAAGCAACCAATCAAAGGCCAGGGTAAGCAGACGACTACACACCGAACCCTGGCGAAAATTCACAACGCAGGCGGCGTTTTACTACTGCTGAGGAGAGAAATAGAAACAGATACTGGTGGTAAGCTGTTCAGGTCGGAGGTGTGGAGAAGGCTCAGAGAAACAAACAGCTGTAGTAAGCAGTGAATATCTCACAGCTGTTCCACGTTTACAAAAGAATAGCAGAAAATATTCCTCCATTCTTTCTCTAATGGGGGATTACGGATATCAAGGAACTACAAGACCACTTTCTCCGTTAGAATTTTACCCCAATCGTGGTTCTAGGCCGACGTCTTTGTTTTCATCCAACAACAACAACGACAACACCGAGAGCTCTGCAACCATCATGCAGGATGAAATACTCGCTGAAAAATTGGCCGTGAAGCAGTCATTACAACAACAGTTACAGCAACTTTCACCTAGTGTTGAGGTAAATTCCGATAACTCTGATATTTCTCCAAAATCTAAGTCAGAAGAATTAAATTCAGCAACCGTCCCTGAGAAAGATTTCAAACAAGAGATTACACAGTCAATCGACTCTACTACAGCATCCACACTACAACAACAGCTGGTTAGTTTTCAGCAAGAACCTATTTCCACACTTGCGACGTCATCAAGTGTAGGCCTAGCCAACAATGGTGTCAGTCCAGCTTTTTGGTCGTCAGCCATAACTGATGAAACCCATCTCCAAAACCTTCACACCCTCAATGGAGCCGTGCAATTTCCAAATTATACTTTAAGTGCTTCAATGTTTAGTCCTACCCTTGCCCCTCAGCTGAACATGCAGAAGCAACAGCCTCAGCAACACCGACATAGTTTGCCTCCCCAACCCACACAACAAGCATTCTTTCCAACTGCCAGCCAGCTACAGCAGGTACAAATACAACAGGCCCAGATTCAGCAGCTGCAAGCACAGGTAGCTGGGAGTCTATTCATTCCCCAGAAACAGTACAACTGGAGTAATCCACAACAGCAATCGAGGTGGAGCACAGCCTCTGGACAGACACTCCATCAACAACACAATAATCCATGGAGTGCAGCTAATTCATCAAATATACATAGTCAAAATGCTACAAATGCGCTAAACAGACGGTCCATGCCTTCATTGATGAACAGCCAGCTGGGACCCCTTTCTCCCACTAAAGGTAGAGCCTCAAACCCAATAATTTCACCACCTAAATTCCAACGCAGTTCCTCTGTGCCTGGCAAGAGTCATCATACATCTATGAATAGTCATATGAGCATTCCAGGAAGTGGTGGTTACCAAAAGAGAAATGGGGATATCAACACCAACACACTTTTCCCGTATCATGGCCAGGTGAGTTTAACTTGCATAATATAATAAATTAATACCTTAGTTGTGTTCATTGGGCCATTTAGATTTTGCATGGCTAGGAATATGGTAATGCTATTTCAATAATGGTAAGTGTCCCTACAGTACCTGTTGCCAACCTGAACCATCTTTATGATGACCTCTCTAGAGACAGATCGTGTATGATTTTGCTATGTATAAAACAGTCATGTAAGTTTAAATTTCTTTGGCGTGGTATGAAAGCCAAATGGTGGAATGTGATAATGTTATTTATTATTTTCAGGCCTTGAAATCAAGACACTGATACTGAGCAGGGGTTTATTTATGAATTTGAGTAGCAGGAGAAATTTGAAAGTAACGGGAGAGTAAATTGAAATAGGCCAGGGGTATAGGGGTGCTGCCTAGGCCCCCATCAGGGTCCAGGGGCAGAGCCCTAGTCGGTGGTCAAGGGGGCGAAGCGCCATTGCACTCCAGGGTTTTAGAGTTTTTAAGCCCATTTGATGGCATTTCTCTACATCATTTTTTTTTAAACAGTTTTCAGAATCAATTACTGAGCTGTAAAAAAGTTATTATAATATATAGATATTTTTACATATTTTTCATACATATAGGCCTAGCCTAAATAGATACTCTAAACCAGAAACTTTCGCGAATTGATGATTTCGGCCGTTTTCGCGACATTAAACTTTCGTGAATCTCAAAAAGCCTAAATTTAATTCATGAGAGGAATATCATACAATAGCTGAAAATATCGTATCGTGAGTTTAGACCTAGGTTAGATAAGCCTACAGCCACTGTGTAGGTTACAGTATCTAGGCCTAGGCAGACTTAGGCGCCATAAACCTGCAGCCTACCTCAGTTGCTAGGACCATGACTTAGCTGGCTGCTCCCAGCCAGGCACAGATAAGAGACAGTTTAAACACATGTACTCACTCATATGATATTCCATAATTGTATGGTATTCAAGCATCCTACAAAATGAACAATGTTTATCAATGTTTTATTAAAAAATTATTTTCCTGTAGGCCTAATATCGATTCAAACACATTGATTGATGACTGAACATCGTGGTATGTCATATGGGACGGAAAATTAGTTTCCCATTTGAACTTTTAGTATACACTGCACAGTGGTCGCACATGTGCTATCACATGTAGTGATGATCAGAACCTCCTTGATTAGTATACTTACTGAGTAGGTTAGAATATGCCTAGAATTTACGAATTTTTCGAGCTCAACATCGGAATTTAAGGTCAGAATATTGATTCAATAATTGAAATAAATCTTTTTTAAGTTTATACACATTTAATAAAATCCACCAAAATAAATTGAAAATACAATTTTTATATTGATGAAGTTGTTTACTTTTCACAAACATGTTGAAATTCACCATTTAGGCCTATGCCCTACAGTAGATCTGCGTTGAAGGAAACATCTAAGGAGAGCAAAAAATAGTTCTAAAATTTACGCAGATATTAAAAAGGAATGGATACCACATTGGGAATGTTCAATGTGATGTGAATTGAGACGATTTTGGCTTGCTCTGTCGTTTTAATCATTGTACTATCTATGACTCTGAAATTGTGAGTGTAAATAGCATTCAATATAGTTGGTTCGGCTTGCTACCTCCGCCACCGAGTGTAAACGAATTTGAGCCAGTGTTGGTTTTTTTTTATAGTTATTTATCATTTCCGAAATATCTGTCATCACAAAGAGGGCTAGTAAAACAAAAATGAAATGAAAATAAAAGGTTCATAGTCATACACAAATTAATTTTAAAATGACGATCTGTTTCTTTCTTCTCCGCGGTAAGAAAACCCGGAAGCCCAATGTACGGAAAAAGAGTTTAGCCGATGTATATCGTCATCACCTGAGTACGTGGTGGAGGAGAAATTTCTATTATCTTATTGGCTAACATGTGATTTGGAGGCGTGGCTTCTTTGATGGACTCACCCAGGCGCGACTGCCGGACTCTGAACTTTAACTTTGTTTACGCCGTGAGTTCATGAAAGTCAAACATGGAGTCTGAAAATTGGTAGACATTTTAACGAATTTTCAACAGAAATGAACATCGAAATGAGTGCATACTATTGCAAATTAACTTCGTGTCGGTAAATAAGGTTCTTTACAGGCCTGTTGCGCTATTTATATTGGTGGTTTTTGTATTAATTTTTGTACAGCATTGATTGAAGTAGCCGGCGAAAACATCCTAGTAGCCGATCGAATGCGCCGGCCGCCGGCTCTTAAATAAACCCCTGCTGAGTTTGTACAATGGGTGATAGGTACTTTTAACTATATAATGTATTTAAGTTACAAAATTAATAATTGGTATATCATCATTCATCAATGATGGCTACCATTGAAGAATAATAATAATGATGATAATAATAATAATAATAATAATAATAATAATAATAATAATAATAATGTGATGTCATTCAAACAAAGGCATTGCTATTCATGGTTGAATTCTTTATGTTTGATAACTCCAGGAGCAACAAATAATAATTTAGCTATAAACTAATACTTATTCCCTTTCCTTGATGGTGGGTTACCTTTGATGCCGATTATATAATGTTAGAATGTCTCTAGTACTCACAAGCGAGGCTTCCTACCTCTTCACCATTGACTTAGCATGTTTTCTAGCTCCTATAGTAGTTGTGGATGAGAAATTAGGTCACATAGAAAAAAATGTTGGATTCTAACTGCCTTTAAAAATGTGGACATGGTTATGAATATTTTTCTTTACCCCATAACAACATGATATTGTAGTATAGGAAAAGTGCTTGTCAAACCATAAAGGTAGAATTTATTTGCACATCCAACACAAATTGGAAAACATCCACACGAAAAACTGGGGAATGGTGAATGACATACAGATTTTTTAATATTTAAAAACTGGGGGAATGAGGTGTAAAAATGGTCTCATTCACCGTTCCCCAGTTTTTCGTCAAACAACATTTTTCTGTCTTAGAAAAATCAGTTCTACAACATATCAAAACATTTTTTTCCTCCGGAGCCTGACTAATGATGTTGCTTTACTTAGAATTGTAATGATGTTTGCTCAAATTAGAAATGAAGTGGAATTTATTCAGATGAAACCAGTGTGCAATCGCCTAGTGAATTATAAACAAGCTCTCTCTGCCACACTTGCATTTTTATTATTCAAATGAGACAACTAACACATGGCAAGCCCAAGGTCTTTAGAATAGTGATCAATATTGTATTCTCTAGGCATCATTCTCATTTATTGATCTTACTTTGTATAGGCAAAATTTTCATCCATGTTCTGCTATCTCAAAGAGTTAATTTTTAAAAAGCCTATGTTAATTTAGAAGAATATAATTGTTAATTACAATAAGTGTTATAATTTACTGACTACCAGTAGTATAGTGTTGATACTGCATTGAGTTTAAACTCCTGGTATTACTGATACATGAATCAAGTTTAGTATTTTTTTGAAGATGGAAAGTATTTTTAAAGCCAAACATACATTGTACCATTACATTTAAAAGAACTATTTAGAAAAAAAACTACATATTTTTATCTGATTGGATACCCTGTATGAAGGCATCATGGTATTTTATTATACTTTTCAAATAATTGGACTGATGGAATTGGTTGCCAGGGGAGTGAATTGCCTAATTGTTTAAATTTGTCATTTTGACCTGGTGTAGCAATACTCTATCTTACCCTTTGAACTCTCTATCAGTAGTTGCTGGTGAGATAGGTTCCTAGCTACATATGGTGTTTACACTTTTTTGACTAATTAAACAAAGACCCTAGATTTTATCAATATACTAACAAAAGGTTTGTTTACAAGTTTGTGTTTCAAATAAAGTAGGGAGAGATACACAGATTGTTATTTAAAAGAGATTCCAAAAATACTTACTGTTTCCAGTATAATCAGATATCGTGATTAATTTAAAGTACATCAGTAAATTGGTGGATGATTTCACTTAACTTGCTGTAGTCTAAGAATAAGATATGAAGTCTACAGTATTGATGACAATAACCTTTACATATCACCAACAGTATGGTAATTTTTTCGTTAACATGATAATTGATAGAAACCAGTAGCTTTTTATTTTTGTCAATTGGCTGATGATTCCATTTTTAGTAGGACATAAGTTGGTATTAATTATCTTCAAGCTATTACCCTGGTACTGTTTAGTACTTGCATCATTTAATGTATGATTTATAATTTACTGTATGATATTGTAAACCAATAGCTACTTTTTACAGGAACTTCTCTTCGTTGCCTATCAGTCTCTGAGTGCAAAAATGTATCGATACGTCGTATGGTACTGTAATACATGGTAAATATCAAAACCTAACTAACAATTTTATTTTTTGTAATACTGTGAAATTTTGCCCTTTTTTCAGGAACGGCAACTTACAAACCCATTGGGTGACCCAATGAAACTTTCCTCCTTGGAACATCAATTACTAGATATAATGAAAGGCACTGACCAGCCACTAGATCCATTTGGAAGAGGACCATGTAAGTGTATTCAAATTAATGCTTATTTTGTGTCAAATAAAATATTAGGATTTCATTTTTAGATACAGTGGAGTTGTTAGTGAGTTTGGATGGATGGAATACTTTAATTACAGTCAAGCTGTGTTTACTGTATAACCTATGTACAGTACAGCATGTTTGCTACCATACTGTTTTACACAAGATTTTACAATGTCATATAATGATTTTTCCCATACTTTGCTTTACAAAAACATTATTTCATTTGATAGTTTTGGGTCTCAATTAATTTAAACATGAGGGTCAGCATACATAGGGTTGATTTTTACACAAATACGGTACAGCCCACAATTACTGCAACATTCCCAACGTGTGGTAATTTCGTTGTAGTTACGTGGTAGTAGGATCTACCACCATGCGTAAAACGTGGCCTGATAAACAATTACACCACTAAAATGTTGATTGTTTTGATGGGTCGATTAGCAGGAATAAACAATATTTTGAACTACAGTAAACAGTTCAATCAATTAGAGTAAAGAATTCAGACGTGTATCAAGATACAGTATTATCGAGCAAAATACGCTGTGTAGTATTTTATTTTAATTGTACATTATTAGTAAGTTCGATCTCAGGATCGTCACTAGTCCTACCAAACATTGGCCTAGACTAGGGCCTTGATCTGCCAATATCAAGCCCTACTCACCCACGCCACGGACTCGTAAAAGATTATTACCTTGTTGATGTTAATCCACAGGTATCCATATGTATCCTTACCAAACACTACACAAATACAATGTTAATTGTCATACATGTTGGAAGAAAATTAGTAGGCCTAACTAATTGAAAAGGAGGCTTTATATCGTAGACCTAAGGCCCACAACTCGGGCTACAGCAGCAGTAGAGTCAAAAACATGTGCATGGGAACATCGGAAAATAATTGGCTTTCGGCCAAAAGGTCATTGTCATGACAACATATTTTTACCAGCCAGTGTTTTTGACGGGTGGCGCATGCTCAAACTATTGACAATTATGTATAGCCCATACATTTGCTGAATAAATGGTCTCTCTCAACGTAAATAGTGTTTTTCTTTATCAATAATCCTAAATTAAGTAATTTACTGTAATCATTTAATGATTCAAAATGTTTAAAAACCTGTCCCATCATTGTTCCATTCACAAACTCTATTCAGCCGTATCGAGTGCGTGAAGAAAGTACATGTTTTACATTCGTAAATGACCGCATTGCAGCAGTATGTCAGTGAAGAAATTAATAATAATAATAATAAATATTTTGAAACTATTGTCTACATTTTAATTTATAGTAGGTAACGTTTGTGGCGAATGAAACATTTAGTGATGACGTGGGCCTAGCCTATTAGAATTTCAAGCCTATTATAGGCCTATCCTTGTTTGTATATAAAAATTACATTCAACTCATTACGGAATATTGTTTTCTATTTATACTATTATATCAACTTTCACCATTCGGGACATTTTTATTTCTTCTTTATGAACTATTTATTCACATTTTCTTCTTGAAAGATTTAGTACTAAAGTTAATCATAAAAATACAAATAAAAATACGAATACCACAGGATAGTTACACTTTATTGTCATTCGCATTGTCATTGAGATACAGTAATATTATGATCATAACGATACTAGCACGGTATATTATTATGTTATATATAAAATAATTAAACGAATAGGAACAGTATTGAAATATTTATTGACATTAAAGGTTGACAATTTCGTCCCACAGTTGTTCCTTCCAGTTTCAAACCCATTCAGCCATAACGAGTGCGTGAGCTAAGAGAAGCACATGTTCTGCCTTCGTAAACGGACCGCATTACAGCAGTCAGTGAAGAAATTATTACACCGCGCCCGATCGGAGTTTTTGAAGAGAAAGATAAAATAAATATTTAGAAACTGTTATTGTCTACATGTTAATATTAGGTAACATTTGCGGCGAATGAAACATTCAGTGACTGCGTACGTGGCCCTATTTCGATCCCGTTCGTAAATAAGAATTGCATTCAATTGAACCTGATTGAACTCAATACGGAACTTTTTTCTATATATATCCGCTTGCATCGAACTGAACTTCGTGAAATCTTTATTTTCTTTTATGAAATAAAGCCGTACAGTAGGCCTAGTACTAATAACAATGATGATGATAATGATACTAATGCAGTACAGTACCGTACTCGCGCGAATAAGCGCCCGGGCGCTTAAAATATTTGTTTGCACTTTCTGAGGAGCACTTATTCAAACGGGGCGCTTATTTAAACGGGGCGCTTATGAAAATAGAGTGGAAATTGAGGGGGCGCTTATGGAAATAGATGAAGATCGAGGGGTTCTTATGGGAAATTATTAAATTCAAGAGGCACTTTTTGAAAGAAAAAAGATTATATAACAATTACGAATGGTGGTTAGAAAAGATAGTCGTCCAGAGAACATGGCTCATGACAAGAATGCGTGAATATTTACATAACAGCAAAATAGCAGATGCAATTAGTGGTGGTGGGTAATAATAATAATAATAATTTTGGCTTATATAGCGCATTATGCTAAAGCCTCAATGCGCTTACCAGTAAAAATAAAATTCGGGGAAAAAAATTAAGAAAAATACAAGCTAAAAAGGTGAGTTTTTAAAGCTGCCTTAAAATCATCAATGGAAGTTGCCTGTCGGATTGTAATAGGCAGAGCATTCCAAAGAAAGACAGAAGCCCAAGAAAAAGAACGACTACCATATTGCTTTGTCGACGGGCGAGTTGAATGAGCAAGTAGAGATTCTGAACTAGATCTCAGAGACCTCTTAGGAATGTAAGGATGAATGAGTTGTGAAATAAACATTGGCGAGGAATTATGAAGTGCTTTGAAAACAAATAATAAAATCTTGTAAGTAATTCTCTGTGAATGAAATGAAGGTGCCTTAACACAGGAGTGATACTGTCTCTTATACACATCTAGATGTGTATAAGAGACAGATACATGTTCTCTCGGTATTCATTTTTGCATGTTGTCACACCAAGACTTACTCAAAATGTGCGTAAGGGCCAAACGAAATTAATTCTTTGTCTCAGGTTGCTCGCGCATGTTGAAAAATTACTGTACCACCAAAAATCATCCCACACTCCATCAGACACGAACCTTGACGAACTGCTCCACTTCACCATATTCAAACTTAACCATATATTTCACAATTATTGTCATTCTCGATAATTTGATAACCTGTCTTTTGTTATTATTTTCATTTTAATCATTAATTATTTTCTGCATTTCACTATTTTAACAAGCATTGCTTACTTATGTAATTGCAATTAGTATTATAATTTAGTATTAGCAAGTGAAATAAAGTGTTTATTTCCTCTTACAGATTGGTACTGATATAATGTCTTTTGCTGAAACCAAGGTTGTAAGTTAGTTTGTTGGCCATCGGATGATTGAGATTAGCAGGATGGCAGGATCATTGTATTCTTTCTTTCTCGGATGAGAATGTGCTGAAGGTCGGAAAAAGAAAAAGTGGAGTAGGCATAGACAATAAAAAGAGTAAAGTTGGAAATATACTGTCTGTCCAGGGATCGGATCTCTCATCTGTCCAAGAAAAATATCCTCATTTTGATATTGACCGAAGAAGAATGTGTTTCCACTCTACAGCGCAAATCATGTCAACAACCACAGTCCCAGGATTGATTAGATTATTGATTTGCAAAAAAAAAAATCTTATGGGGCGCTTATTCAAATTAGAAGGGGCGCTTATTCAAACGGGACGCTTAAGGAAATTTTAATGTTAGGAGGGGCGGTTATTCGAGAGGGGTGCTTATTCAAACTGGGCGCTTATTTGCGTGAGTACGGTATATTATATAATATATAAAATAATAAAATAGTGTTCAGTTCAAAACCATAATTTATGATCGGTTATCTCGGCTTTGTACATAATTATATGCAAAAATTCAACTCCCATTTTCAGCTATTATTCGTGTTCAATATTTTATAATATTAGAGACATCCCCCATTATGGGGTATGTCTCTTTTATCCCCCATAATGTGACACTCATGATGAAACAACAACATAAAAACTTCATAGCGCAATAAGCTAGAATGGGGTCGATGTCTTGGTTATCAACAACATACGCAATTACGACACATTAATATATAGTATTATTTTTTAATAGCTATACCAACCTTTTTATTAAGTTTATATCTTCCTGATATTACTCTTATTGGCAAATACAACAGTAAATTGAAGTCTTAGACCACTTAGACCACATGCGAAGAAAATACGCCATGTTAAAACGATTAAACAAGGCCAAACTCTGTATTTTTGTACTTCCACTCTGTTACGAATCTACTCACATGGTTGAGGGCACAGTTTACTTTGTATGGAAAGCCACTTTTACTAGTTTTTAAACTATACATCATTTTATATATTGCTTGTTTATTCGGGATTTTTTCTTTGATTATATTATATTATATTACTAATGTATTTCGTGTTTTATGAAAATGCATTGTAATATAGTTAATTATTAGCGAACTTATCAATTAGTTAATACATGTTGTAGATACGCGAACGACATATTGTGATTCCAGCTTCGTGACGTCACTTCTGGAGGTAAACAATCGGCGGTGACAGGCGGGTAGAAACTGCTTACAAAAGTAGAATTTTCTCGTTAAATCCCAGGTTTTGCACGACGCAACATCAAGATATGTTCTTTCCACTATATATAGTACCTACGGTTTAAGTTTCATTGAGGTAGGAGCTTATACCATGGTTAAGGTGATTTTTGACTGGACTATTATTCTGATCTAGCCATGTAGCATTTATAAACAGTATATGAACGTCCAGTAACGACTTAACTGTTTATAAAAATTAAACAAAATCTTGTTATGCAAGATAAACTTTGTTACCCTGTTGTTTACCTTGTGCTTAACTCCACGCGTGGCTACTGCGAGGCTAACGCTGTGCGTGACAACGCAACGTCAACATCACGACCACGACAGTCACGCGTGGTGCAAAGGCG